TACCACTGCACTCCAGCCTGGGTGACAGAGAAAGACTGTTTCCAGAAAAAAAAAAAAAAAAAGTACTGAATGTAAGAGTAAGAGAACTTAATTACTTACCCACTTCTGAAAAGTGTTGTGTTAATGATTACTATTATACCAAGCATGTTAATTATCGCTTATATCCAAGAGAAAAATAGGGCAGGTGGCATTAACATGCTACCTGTTAAAGATGAAGAAACTGAGGCTCAGAGATCTTACCCAGCCCAACATGTCACCCAGCTAAGTGTAGAGCTGGAGCTTAAACTGAGTTCAAATCCTGTGTTCTCTGGAAGAAGTCCATGCTGCCTTCCATGGCGAAGAAAGTACTTGAATAGATTTCCTCTAGAGTAGTTAGTCCTTGACCCCTGATCTCTCCATTAACTTGGTATTACTTCCATCAAGGGAAATGATTTTTCTTGCCAAATAAGCAAAGTACATTAAAAAGGCTGCCCACAATGTAGAGAATGCAGCACTGAAGGCCACTTACTAGTTTTATTATTTGTCTGTGGATGGGAAGGAAACTAAAATTTATTGTATTCCTACTGGGTTCTAGTTCTTGTATATATTATCATTCATCCAACCAACATTTATTCAACAGATACTAAACAATCTCTGCCTTCAGTTCTTATATTTCAGTGGTGGAAGACAAGTACATAAACAAGTAATCACATGCAAGTCTTAATAGGAACTTTGAATGTACAGGGTTTGGTGTAAATCTACAATAGAAGTAATGGTCAGTTTGATTTGATCTAGGGCGGGGTCATGGGCACATGAGGCAAGACCCAGCACTAGGGCTTCTACTCCTAGTTAATGGAATTTCTTTTCCTTTTTTTTTTTTTTTTTTGAGACAGAGTCTCACTCTGTTGCCCGGGCTAGAGTGCCATGAAGTCAGCCTAGCTCACAGCAACCTCAAACTCCTGGGCTCAAGCGGTCCTCCTGCCTCAGCCTCCCGAGTAGCTGGGACTACAGGCATGCACCACCATGCCCGGCTAATTTTTTCTATATATTTTTAGTTGTCCAGATCATTTCTTTCTATTTTTTAGTAGAGACGGGGTCTCGCTCTTGCTCAGGCTGGTCTTGAACTCCTGACCTCGAGCGATCCTCCTACCTTGGCCTCCCAGAGTGCTAGGGTTACAGGCGTGAGCCACCACGCCCAGCCAGAATTACCTTTTCTTGTGTTGGAGCTCAGGAACTAGTGAAAGATAAGGGATGTATAGCTTAAAGTTACTAAAAGCCTCCCTGTGGTGACAGAGTTTGTGTTATTTCTTCATTATAAAGTAAACAAGGAATTGCTAAACTTATATTGGGATAGAGGGGAGTGGGAGCTCATCTGAATACCATTTGCTCCGGGCTTGGGAAGGGCAACAAGGAGGCTAGAGCAAAGGTCCTTCTCATTCCTAGCCTCCCTGGCTACCTCACTTTGGCCGGGATGGAGACATGTTCTTGGGAGGCCACACCGTCTGCCTTGTGCCCACTGCATGGTTCCAGAAGACGTCTGGCTTCCAGGCCCAGCCATCAGAAACTTTCTGCACTGTTAAATCCATTTAAGAGATCTGAAAAGATGACCCTGTGGGATGGGATGAAGGGGGTGTTACACTACGTATGCATTTTGAGGATTTGCTTGACAGAGCTAAAACGAGGGGCTTCTGGATGGCCGTTGTAATTGAGAAATGTTTTACTTTCATTTTGGAGCCTATATGTAGGAAAGTAGCTGTATAAACCCACTTGTAACTACAGCATTCAAAGATTGATGGTGCTGAAAGTCAGAGAAAGACACATAAACCTTGCCTGGCTATATTAAATATCTAAGGACTGACAATGCCAAGAGAGAGAAGACCAAAGCTCTATAAACCCTACTTTATTACACCATCCACAGATGAACTGCACTGAGGGAATATAAACCCTGTTATATTACAGTATCCAGGGACTACCACTACTGAGAGATAGGGTAAATGATCTCTAATTTCGATTTGAGATTATAAATGTCCAGAGACCAACAACCCAGAGAAGACTCTAATCTTGGTTGAATTTTAGCACCCATGAGCAAACCCCCTGAGATAGTGAACATGAGTATTAGGTTAGATTCTTAAGAGAGAGAGACACAGGTTTTTGGGGAATTCCCTAGTTATTTTTTTAAGGGTGGATGATACAGTCTTCCCCAGTTGCCCTGTATAGCAATTGCCAACTTCAGAATATCTCTGTGTGGTTTTAGTTGTCAATAGTAGTTTGTTTTTCCCCTTTTTAGGAAGTTAGTGATTGAATCTGTTGTGGTAGCAACTTGATATACAACTTAAATCAATCTGCATTTTTTAAATTAAATCTTCCTGTGATTAACAGATTTTAGATTTTCATTGATCTTTTGTTTGCTTTGTGATTCCAGCCAGAGAGATGACACGGGGGAAATTCCTCAACATTCTAGAGAAGCCCAAGAAGTAGCAGCTGTTTGTGGACAGGATGTCCTGGGCACTGTAACCAAGCTCCCTTCCCAGTGCAGCTCTGACGATGCACAACTCACTGCTTCCTCGGGAGAGGCCAAGGGTGTACCTCCAGGACTGCCCTGCTCCCCTAGTCCTGACACTCTGCGCCTCTGAGGACGTTCGGCAGCAAGAGAAGAATCTGCTCTACCCAAGGATCACTGCAGTTATTCAGTCAACTTCCACACTTTGACCTTCTTAGCCTCAGATATTGATAACACCAGAGGACATATCATTCTCAAAGATCAAAGTCCTGCTTTATCATTTCCAGAAGTGATTCAAGAGCCCTGGGATCTTATAGTTGATTTGATTCAGTGATGGCAAAGTCATCTGTGACATTTTGATTGAATGGGTTCTTTTGAGTAGTACTTGATCTCTTAGGAAGTATTTATGATGCGAGGAGACCAGATTCTGGATCAGACTGTGCAGCCTGACCCCTGAACTCTCCAGTATATACTAGGTTCCAAGAATCCCCAGCTGGAGAAACCAGAATCTGCTCAAAATGTACACCTGCTTTTTAAACTCTGTATCTCTCATGATAGTCCCATCCCCCAATGCCTTCCAGCCCCACCTTCCAGTTCTGACCCCAGACAAGGGGATCCCTGAGTAGTGAGTTCCTCCTGGAATTAGCTTGTATAGTAAAAGGCCCATGCAAGGTTGCATTGGGTTCTAGACCTGAAGGCCAGTCTGAAGGTGACAGAAAGGACTTTTAAGTTCAAGTTAATCTGTTACAGATTCAAGCAAGAAAGTCAATATGGCCTGAAAGATAGGAGAATGGGGTGGCTCATGGCAGTTCCCATTTGGTTGAAAACTAGAGGCTGAAATTGACCTTAAAGGAACATGCTATGGGATGTGGCAGTGTTTTGTCATCCCTTCTTACAGCACATATCAGATACTTCACCTGTATAACAGAAACACACACACACACACACACACACACACACACACACACACAAAAGAAGGAGAAAAAGAATTTCCTGACTTAAATACAACTCTCATGGAGTTCTGCACCAGTTATCTGTCTCTGTGTTAAAACCTGAAAATCTAGCCCACGGATAAAATAGATTATACATGTTCTCCCTATTTGTCTTATAAGCGAGCCCCCAGCATCTGATGTTTTGAGAAGTACGTGGAGTTTTCTAAACTTTGTGAAAAGAATATCCCTGTGATAATAGTCTGATGGTGTTTGGACACAAAAAAGTTGTAGTCAAGTTTTTGGTCTTGAGTGTCTGTGCTAGACCACAGCCCTCTTAAATTTAATAGCTAGTCCATTAACCATTTTCTGACATTTGCGCCTTGTTCCCATGCTAGAAATTAATGTTGGATTTTTCTCATTTGTGCCATTTGACCATCCATGCAGTTTTACTTAATGAAAGAAAAAAAATTCAACACGAGACACAGAGGATGAATATGAGAAAAAAACATTCTGCTGGGGTGCTACATAGAAGGTTAGGTCGTAGAGTCTTTGATTTTAAGTTAAGCTTACTATTGACATTTCTTTATCTCGTTAAACACGGTTGAAGTGGGTGTGTGGGTGTGTGGCCAAAAAATAGTGTCATAATGTCAAATTCTTCCTTTGCTCTGTTTTTAAGAGTTGATGGCATCAGGCACTTTTAAATGTTTGAGAAAATTGATTGGGATACCTCCCCCAAAGCAAATCAAGTCTGTAACCAGAAGCCAGGTAGTTGGTTTTCTGGTCTGCTTTGTCCTCCTTCTTTTACTGTCATCTTATTCACCAGCACTTAATGTAAGTAGATGTTTTAGAATTGCAATATTTATTGGTTTTGTATTTGTCCTTAGAAATGTTAATGATGTATTTTTATATCGATAATATAAATTTATGTACAGTGTGTATGTATTTCAGGATGTTAGAGGATTGTACTTTGTGTGTGATGGTTTCTATGTCTTCATAATAAATGTCCCTTTTATAGGAGGGTGAGTTTTTCCTCAAAGGGCTGAGTTGCATGTGTAAAGCAAAGAGCTCATCAGAAGTACATATGACAAATAACCCACTATCTTCCCCCTTAATATCTTAGTGGATTGTTTGGGACTTTTTAGTCATCTTCTTGGTCTCCCAGCTTCCAGTCTGTCCTACCAGCCATCCTGCTCATTACTGCTCAACTCCCTAAAGTAGTACTTAGAAACCTTTAATACCTCCCCATGTCTACTAATAAAGCCTGGATCTATTGACCTGGCATTTTAAGACTTTCTACATGTAATCCTAATAGTTTAGTTTCCTTCCTCTCCCATATATGAAGTCTCTGTTCCCATCACTCTGAACAATTCCCAGTCAGTTCCTCACTTCAGTGCCTTTGCTCATGCCATTGAGTTCCTAGAGAGTCTTGCCTCCCTTTTGTACCTATCAAGCCTATTCTGCCTATATAAGCCCCGATGATCCAGCTGGAAGTGATCCTTTTTTGCCTGCATTCCTACAACATTTATGTATACCATCCCTTTGACTCTTACCACAGTCTACCTTATATTTAAGTGATCTAAGTATATGTCTTATTGCCTTCTAAATTATAAGCTCCTCAAGGATATAACTGTCTCCTACACATCTAGTTCTTCAGTGTCATCTTTGAACTGGGGTTCAAAACCTGTTTGTAGACTTTCAGTTATCCATGATGAATTGAAAACAGGTATTTCTCTGCCACCTATTAAATCCCTTAGTGTGAGTTTCAAACGTGTTCAAGAACTAGAGAAGTTCTGCTACTGCCATCACCTGTGATAGTTTACCTGCTCTAGACCAGAGCATGCCCTTTTAGAGAAAGCATTCCATTTTAAGGAAAGCACATTGCTTACCATCATTGTCCCATCTTTATTTCAAAGAAAACATCTGGGTGAATAGTAGATTTTTGTGATCTAGAAAAGCATGGCTGATTGACTAAACAGAGACAGTGTTATGAATGTTCTACCATAAGTCTTTAGAGACTATTTTTCTAATAAATAATTATTTGCCAAAAGATTGTTTTCCCTTTCTCTTTGTCATTCCAAATGCTATCCTGTAATGCATCTGTTGGCTATGAGGAGCATTGTCCTGAAAACCATAGCACTGGAGCTTTTTAAAATCTTTTCTTACCAGTAGTCTCATTGCTTCTTGCTCTCTTTGGTCTCTTAAATTTTAGGCATCTGCTGATTTTCTTGGCTTTCCTTCTATAGTTAGAGCACTTAAAGTTCACAGGATATTAATTATGTTGATATTGAAATGCCCTCATTAATTTTTCTTTGTCTTTTGGTTACCCATTTGTCATATTTTTTAAATGGACACTTGCTAACTGCTCCTTGGTTTTGGTTCTCTAGCTCTTGCTTATTATAGCTCTTCTGGACTCACCCAAATCAGGGTAGTGAAAATGGAACCGGTGAAAGTCATGCCATTGTCCCTGTGGCTTCAGAAGGGTGTTTCGACTTCCATAGGAACTTTGTAATGAAGCCAAGAAATTCCATTTCTAGTGGGATGCTCTGATCCCTTCTGTTTCCTTCAGAACTGCGCCATCGCAGGAAGGTGACAGGCAGAGGAGGAAGTGAAGAAATGGGCAGGTAGGTCACAGTGGTTGGTCCCAAAGATCAGGTAACATGGTTTCTTCCCAGTTCTCAACGAATTCCATCTGCAAGCATTTGGGTGTGTTCTCCATTTTCTGTTTTCTTTATCCTTTGAGAGCCATAAGACTATCTAATCCCTGCATGTTCTTCATGTCACTGGAGAGCCTTGCAACCCCACCCGCAGAGAGGGGACAAACAGTGATCCAAATTCATAAGTTCTGATGGACTGTAACTGACTTTTTGGCACTTTGGAAGTGTGTGCCTGACTATGCCTGAAGAGGCCACCGGCCTTCTTACCCTTTGCCCAGCAGATTTTCTTCTTGAGTATTTGGGGTCCTCAGATGATACCAGGTGTAGCTGTGAGGCTCCCGGTTGGCGTGAGTGCTGGCAGAGCCTGTTAATTAGCACAGGAACACCCCAGTGCTCCATTAGCCAGGCCAGGCATTTGGAACCTGCCCCTCCTGTGGGCCCCTTCCTCCTAATGAGAGCTGGAAGAAGGGCCTCACAAAACACTGCCTCAGAATAATATTCTGCTTTGTCCCCACCAGTAACCAGGGCTGACAGGATCACTCTGTCCATTTCTCTTCTAATTAGCACAATTCCAGCATGGCCTGAGCCAGCAAATGGAGAAAAGCGATCAAAAGCGATCGGACAACCGTACCGAATCACAAACACAAAGAGGGCCATTCCCTGTAATTAGGTGAGACAATTCCTCAGTCTTTTCTCGGCTGGAGTTTGCCGCTAAGACTCTTGCTGTTTGGGTCCCAGGAACACAAGTTACATGTCTCCCTGGGACACTAATAAGCCCCAAATTGTCTTCCGCTTCACACAACTCTAACCAGAGGACAGATGGGGGGGCAGGCAGCACAGTGAAGGGACAGGGTCTCTAAACAAGGAGCTGCTGCAATGTTTCCCCAGCTCCAAGAAGCAGACATTGGGGCTGTGGGCAGAGAGGGAAGAGGAAGTTGGCTAGAGAGGAGAACTGCTCTGGGCACAGCCTGGTCCCCATCACTTGAGCTGGAGTCTAAAGCACTTAGAATTCCTGACCCTCAGGGGAAGCCCCCTCTCTGCTATTTGCCTTGCCCTGTTCATTCACCACCTTCTATTCTCCCCTTTTGGTCTCCTCACCCCTTCTCCCACCTCTCCACACTGGTGGCATCATGAGCAGCTGCAACTGTGGCAGCATTCGGGGAACTGCATTGCAGCCCTTCACAAACTGTAAAGCCCTAGACAACTCGAGTTACCATCGCAGGGAGAGCTAACACAGGACACGTGTGAATTCTGCCCTCGAAGAGCTCATGACCTGGAAGGAACACCCACTCCCCCGCTCACCTTGGCCCTCATTTCTAGGCCCCATTACTTTCGTGTCTTTGACTCTTCCCCAGCCCCTGCCTACTAGCCCTGTTCTCTCTCCTGGAAGATCCCTGTTTTTTTTAAAACAGGAAAAGTGGCCCATCAACTGCCAGGGCAAGAAGCCATAACTGGCTGCACTCCATGTGGCTCAGAGGTTGGCCACTTAATGAACAAAAACAGCTCCCCCAGGATTGCTGCCCATTACAGGGATTACTTGGGGCGATACAGCCATAAACTTGGTCATAGCCAGGGACAAAGGAATGCAGGGGAGAGTGGCAGTTGGAATCTCAATTAAACTCAAACACTGAGCAGAATTGGACTCACACATCTTTTCATCTCTATTTTACCCCCTGCTTTCTGTCTTGATCTATCTATACCTGATGCTTCTGAAAGTGACTGCCAATACCAGAAAACACTCAATTGTGTAGAACCCAAAGAGCCAAAAAACTCAAGTAATCAGAGTCGCATTGTTAGTTTTCCATCCTCTCTACCTGACATACAGAGGGGTAGTCATAAGATTTGGCTTTTTAAATAACTTTTGGGAGATGTCAAAGAATTGCTCCAAATTTGTTCAGTCTCCTACAGGTTCTTTGGTTATAAACAGAACTTAGTACCTGGCACATAGTAGGTGCTTGATAAGAATTGAAAGAATGAACTGTACCACGATATTCAGTGTTCATAGCCTTGTTGCTGGTCTAAGGTATAGTAAGAGCTTGGATATTGAGAGAGGCAGGGATGAGCTTGTGCAAGTCACTTTTCTCTGAGCCTCAGTTACCTTGGGACCTTTTCCACTTTAAAGGCAGCCCAGCATCATGGATAAGGCATAGACTCTGAGATCAGGCTGCCTGGGTCCAAATCCTATTCCTGCTATCTACTAGCTACTTTGTGTACGTTGTTTAACTTCTCTGTGCCTTGACTTACCCATTTATGAAGTGGATCCAATAATGGCACCTCCCTACTAAAGTATTTGGAGAGATTAAATGAGTACTTGCAAAGTGTTTAAAACAGTGCATGGCATATACAATTGCTTGATTG